CCATGCTGCAATACTGCCATCTTCCGCACAAAGAATCACATTACAACTCTACTGTTTGTAGCGCAAGCAAAAAATGCAACAGTTAAAAACACAGAAAATAAAGGAATGTGTGTTAATGATAAATGCGAAGAATGATGCAATAATACAATTCAGCCAGATGCAACTCATACACCTTTTTGTATTGGAAGTTTTTTTATGTTTCAAGAAAACCAAGGTTGAACTTGTTCGCCGCAAACACAACACTTCTCATCTGCAAAAGAACGACACTGAAGCATGGTGGTGGTAAGTGTCATGCTTTGGGGATGTTTTTCTTCATCTTGAACTGGGGCCTTAGTCATGTTTTAGGGAATGATGAACAATTCCAAATAAACTTGCAGTGTTAGCTTCTGCTGGGAAAAAAAAAACAGATCAGCAAAAGCCTAGTAGAACATAATTTTATTTAGGGGTAATAAAAGGCAAATCAAAGGTTAGCATTTGTGTCTTGATTCCCATTCCGCATGGTGTTGAATGTGATCGGTCATATCTGAACATGGCCAAATCCCCAGTTATGATCACATGATTCACAGCAAAATGTGCCTACTGACTCCAAGTGTCGAAAATCGTGTAATAGCGAACAAGACTATTTAATGACTAACTTAAGGTAGCTTTTTCTAACATGCCTCAGTTAAACGCTGCATAATTGACAAATAAAAATAAAGAACTTTATTTCATATAAAAAAAACCCCCAAAAAACAGAACCCCGCAACGCATGGCAGCTCAGGGACCTGCTGCAGTAGTAAAGGGCATCGCAGTTAATGACCCTCTCCACGTGGGGCTTGCGTGTGACCTCATCTCCCATTCAAACACTTTCACATGTGCGTGAATTATTGCCAACTAAGAAAATGTGCTGAAATTCTTCTCGATCCTGCTGCGTTCGTGGCCATGCGCCAAGGCCATTGTAAATGTTTGAGTGTTTGAGTCAATCAACAGTGCACGCTGGCAGTGCATCATTGACCATGGGGTTGTGCTGCTTGAAGCTATCATTAAAAGTAGTGTGGGAGGAGTGAGAAAAAAGGGCGACATGTGGGCCAAGCTTAGCGTTTAAAACGCGGTGAGCTCATGACTGTAACATGAATGTTAAGTGCTTGTAAAATCTCTCTTTACTCTGCATTACCTCAGAACCAGGGGCCAATGAGAAATGTGGTAAATAACAGAGCTGTTATTTTGAAGGTTTTAATGAAAGAGTCCAGAGCAGGGTAACCTGAGAGGAACACCGAAACACCCCCCTCCCAATTAAACACGACCACTGATGAAATATTTGGAGCTCTGTCCAGACATGCACCGCAGGTTTGCAAATAATTGAATATACAGTGAACCCCTGTTTGTAAGGGTTCAGAATTTTATTTTATTATATTTTATTTTTTTAAACCAGTCCCCCTGTTTGTGTAAAGATTTGCTGTTTTTGAGCCCAGGTCAAAGCAATAACAGTATTCTGGTAGCACCTGAGTACCAGGGAAACAGTTTGCCTTGAGGTTCTTTTAGACAACATTTACTGACATCTTGTGGTATCTATAGAAAATCGCAAACCCACATTCAAATTATAAGTCCAGGCTCCCTCTCGTGGGGAACTTTTGAATTGCTTGTCGACAAAATATTTGGAATTCTGGGTGGTTGACTTTTGTTTGTTGACGTCTCCGCTGCATGCACCATACACATGGATCCACACACTAATTGAGGAGTGTGGGTGGGGGTTGGTGGGGCCAAGGGGTGATTATACAAAGTCACCTAATTATGAGTTGGCTTTCTGTTGTATTTCCACTTGCTCCGCTCTCTCCATAAATCGTTTTCTTTCTTTTTTTTTTTATTTTTTATTTTTATGGAGGGGACGGATAGAAACATGTAGAAAGTTATCCTTTGGCATGTAAACAGACCTCTTAAATCTGGAGATGAGTCAACGTTGCACTCTAATGCTACTCCTCCTGCGCTGCTTTTCCCGTGCCGTCCCGTCCCTTTAAGAAACTGGGGTGAGTTTCGGTCCGAGCCTCAGTGGGTATTTAAGTGACCTAATCCACCTCTTAATAACACCATCACGTTGCTTATGCAAATGCGGAAGACCTCCTTTCTTCTTTGCCCCCAGCCTAGCTGTGGAAGCTAACTGTTCCACTCACGCTTGCTGCTCTGAAAAAAAAAAAAAAAAATCCATTTCGGGGTTAGCAAACAACGGTCACATAAAGTTCAATGTTTATTAAAACATGTGCATTGAAAATGATTTCAACCCACCGCTGCTAAAACACGCTTGAGGTGTTAACAAGCAGCGGCACGAAATATCTTGCTGAAAGTAAAAGTGTGCGAAGAAACCCTTCCTACCATTGAACATTTGTTGATCGTTGATCTCATGCGGAGTGCCATAGGAAGCAGGCGTCTCCAAAAGCCCAACAAGTTCTTTTCACAGATCCCTGCGATGACATCACTTCACTAACGAACTTCACTCCCAACCAATCCCTCCGCATTCACGGCTTTACCCATGCTTGTAATTTATTCAAGGCCGGCTCTCATGTGGCCATGGTGGGACGGTGGCATCGGGGCAGTGAGCTTGAATATTAGTGCGCCGCCCTCCCCGACGGGGGAGAAACTGTGTCATAATGCCCGACTTCTTTTATGATTCAAATCAAGGCTATTGTCTCCGGGGGAGAGCGGCACCGTGCTGACCGCCGAACAACCAAGGCTCTATACAAGGTGCAAGCTGATG